CCCCCCCCCGCCGCCCGGGCGGGGCCGCGGCCCAGCGGCTCCGCGCGCTTCGGCCCGGCCCGGCGCGCGTATTCCTGGCGCTCCTGCGAAGTTCCCCGCAGGTCAGCGCGGGGCCGGGGCCTCGCGTCTCAGCTCTCCTCCCTGCCTGCTCCGGTGTCAGCCGGGCCCCTCGGGTTCCTCATCCACAAGGAGCGGAGCACGCGTCCCTGCGTGGTGCGGGATCCTCTCTAAGCTGGGGGCCAGGGGATGCTGTTTGTGACCCTGCCCCGGTGCTGGTGCTGCTGCAGCATCCGTTGCCCCACTCCCAGGACGCTGCTGGCGGTGGCAGTCCTGCTGCCCGGGTGGCTGCGGCACAGACGTGAGCATGTCCCTGCTGCCCGCCCGGTGCCCGTGGGCTGCTCCGGCAGGGACACGGTTCCTCCCGGCCTGCCCTTGCCCCAAGGCCCTTTCTCCTCTGGTGCGTGAGCAGCTTCGATGCTGCTTCTCACACCCAGCTCTTCCAGGCGCTCGTGCTCCGGGGCTGCATGTGCCGTGATCCCGGCACAAGGGGCCAGCTGCCTCCCGCCTTGTCGCCCCCGCTGGGCTGGGGGGCACCCACAGCGGCGCTGCCCCTCGGGGCTGGCAGGCAGAGCCTGTGCTGGAGCCGGCAGAGCCGCTTACGGGTGGGTGGCTGCAGCGCAGCCGTCACCTGGGGGCTGAGATGTCACCCTGGGGCTGAGCCCCCTCATCGGAAGGGCCGAGGACAAGCAGGCTGCGCCGGGACAGGCGAGGGCTGCCCTTGCACTGTAACAGGGAGCGCTGGTGCCTGGGCACGTCCCTTCTCCTGCTGTCTGGCATCCAGGGTCCCTCTGCCCAAGCCCCAGCTGCTCCCATGCCAGGGAGCTCCTGCCCCAGCTGGTGGAGCTGGGTTGGATGGGGAGCACCAGACACATGGGCACAAGCATCGGGCTTGAGGGTCTTCCCTGGGGCGGCGCTGAGAGGGCCCGAGCCGGGAGGCCGATCCCTGCAGGGTGGCCCAGGGCCTGGCCACGCTGCTGTCCCTGTGCCCGGGACGCAGCGCGGCAGAGGGGATCCCGCACGGCTGCAGGAGGGCCCGGGGCAGCGCGCGCTCCCCGCTCTGCGCCCGCTGCCAAGCTGGCATCAGCTGCTAACAGCTTCCAGTCTGGGCTGGCGCTGCTCCAGCGGGACCGCGTCCAGATTCTGTATCCAGCGTCCAGAGCTCTTGGGCTTCCCACGCCTCCGAGAGCCGTGGCTGCCTGGTGCAGAGCCGGCGCTGCCCCGCGGTGCTGGGATGCGCTCACGTGGGAGCCACCTTGGCGGGTGGCTCTGCCCCTTGGGAGCACCTGGCTGCCCTGGCCCTGCTGCCGGGAAGGGCTGGCACTGGCCGTGGGGCGGCCCCGCGCCCGGACGCGTCCCCAGGGAGCCGGGGGATGTGCGTGCTGCGCACCGGCTCGCGGTGCCTCCCGCGGCAGGACCCACCTGGGCACCGCTCCACACGCGGCCCCTGGACTCAGCGGGGCACATTCCAGTTTGCTCTTCCCGGTCCGGTGGGGAGGCCTCTCCCATTCCTCCACTGAGGTTGTGCAGGGACAAGTGTCACCTTGAGCCAGCGCCTCTTTGGCAGGGAAGGGCATCAGTAACCCTTGGGAATCGATGA